TTCTGGCCAATGAGACATGAATGAAAGCCTACTGAGAAGGTGGGAGAGAGGGGAAGGAATGTTCTGGGAAAGATGCTTCTTCCTGATTGCATCAGACACATGAACAGAGCACTCTGACATCCCTCCTGTCTTTCCCTCTTGCCCATGGTTCAGTGAAAAACAGGCTGTGGCCGCCATCTTGTGACCATGAGACAGTAAACCAAAAGATACAAGCCAGCAGCACGTGAGGAAAGTGGAGGGAAAGGAGAGAAAGGGACTAATAGAGTCATCGTCCAGCCAGTGCACCAAGCCTGGAGCTGCCGCGTCTGGCCACTGTGTCACAGAAGATAATGAAATGTCTTCCTTACCCAAGGCACCGGTGCATGGTGTTCTGTTACTTGCAGGCAAATGCATCCCAGCTGACTCTACCACCACAGCTTGCTTCTCATTATGCTGCCCTGCTTTTTCCCATCCATGGTTCACTAGCCGCCATCCTTCCCCAGCTCTGTGCATTAGTCAGGGTCCTCAGATGCCAGCAACAGAAGCTAAGTTCAGCTGGCTGAGGCAGCAACAGGGTTTATTAGAGGCTCACAGAATCATCAGGAGGCCAGAAGAGCAGTCTTAGAAAACAGGAGCCAAGGAGGCACTGGAGGGAAGGACACGTGAGTCCTCACCAGAAGGCAACACCCATCACCTGTCACCTGCCACTGCAGGACACTCTTCAGCCTTCCACATTCGTATAACCCTCGTGCAGAATCCCAGGCAAGAACACTCAGCTGGTTTACCCTAACTCTTGTTCCCACTCTTGGCTGTGCTTCTGTAATTGGGGCAGGGAGTAGGTTCTGCCCAAGATGCACAACTCAGTGATAGTAAGAGCAGTGACTAGGAGGTAGGGAAAGAGAGGCCCAATGACCTGCTGGAAATCAGCCAGTGAAAACCCTGTGACTCAAGACAGTATGATCTGCAGCCAGTAGTGAGGGTGGCACAGCACTGGTCGTTCTGTTGTGCGTGTGGTTACCATGAGTCGATGTCCAACTTGACAGCAGCTGACGACACAAACAAACAAGGCTTCTCGCCATTGTACAGTGTGCTTTTAGGAAGAGGGACCTTGATGGCAGACAGCTGGGAAGGGAGCAGCCTACACCACTCCCTGGACCCCAGGGAGGTTGTCAGTGCCCTCGGCCTCTGAATGTCACAGGGAGACTTGGCTGCACCTGCTCAGAGAGGGATTTGTGCAGAGACCAGGGCCTGCGAGAACATCTGTGTGTTTTCACAGAGGGGAACAAATCGGAGTGGGGGTTTCTGGCTGGGCTGGAAACAGAATGCCATCAGCAAAGCCCATCTGTCAGGAGGTGCTTACATAAGCAAGTCGGGGCTGCGTGTTTTCCTAAACAGCCTACTAGTGGCCTCAAAGAACTCCTCCACGCTCAGCCTAGGCTGACCCCAGCCTGGGACTTCCACACAGGTGGGCTGCCAGGCTGTGAGCCGCGCCCTCAGCTTAGCCATGCCTGCCCAGCCTGGGGCATGGCACCCAGCGGAGTATGGGTCTGGGCTCGCTCACACCCTCCTCTGTGCACAGCAGCTGCAGCACTGACCATTACAGCCCGGTGACCCTGCCCAGGTCCAACCCACACGTATATTTTCAACTCTCATTGTGGTTTTTGTTGGTGATGTTCTTAAGAGGTATTTATTTGTTGACCAAACATGCACGTAAATAATTCCAAACGTGGTCCACAGTGGAAAGTCCGGCTCCTCTATCCCCTCCTTTCAGCAAACATTTAGATTCTGGGGCTATGGCAGCCACTCACGTTCTCCTGGTGGGAAGATGACAGTAAGAAGAAAACTCAGTGAGTGGCTTCTAGGGGTGAGGAGGAAAGTGAAGCAGGACAGAGGCAGGGGGAGGAAAGCCAGGGCCCCTCCCACAGCCGGCTGTGAGCGGTTGGTCCTCCCAGACGGAGGCAGGGTGAGGAAAGCCTGGGCCCCTCCCACAGCCGCTATGAGCGGTTGTCTTCAGGTCCTCCGGGAGCACTTTGCCGCATGGTAGTTGGTGTCATCGTTGTTGTGATTTTTTGTTTTTCAGTTTGAGAGGTACGGCACACAACTCCAGATTCCTGGTTTCTCCTCAAAAATCAGATGATTGGGCAGCCTCCTGCGCGCAGGCGCAGGCGGCCAGAGCGGAGGTGCCTGCCGCCGTCTGCCTCTCTGGAAGGTGCCCTGTCGTGCAGGTCACTGAGTGCCCCCCACCACTCACCGTCTCCCCTCACCAGCCCAGCCCCGTGAGCCATGCAGGCTCCCAGTTTGCATCCCCTTCTTTGCCCCATACCCTCTTCTGCCTCCTGGCAGCATCTTCAGGGATGTTCCTGTGCTCATGGGAACCAGGAAGCGGCATGCTCTCTCTCCTCACTCCCTGCCTCCTCTCCCCCCACCTGCTGGCTTCCTTCCTCAAACCCTGTGTCCTCTTTGTAGTTTGGCTCCATGAGCCTGCTTCATGTGTCTGGTTCCATTTCTCTGCCAGCGTACTCTGCATCTCTAAGTATCCATTAGGAAGTACCTCCTTACACACACACACACACCCCACAGGACACCTCCAATGTCTCTGCACTGTGAAAGTCCCAACAGACGTTGACCAGAATGGCTATGCCTGGCCCCAGACTCCAAGAGAAAGAAAAGTTACTGATCAGGTGCCCATCCCAACCTAACCCTCTGCTTTTGGAACGAAATCAGCTCTTTTAGTCGGAGGAAGGGGGATGGCTGTGGGGGCAACCACATATCTGTCCCCTTTCCTCTCACTCAAGGAGTTTCATCTTCCACGGGTTGGGTAGAGAGGGGGTGATCCTGCAGAGGTCCCCCAACTGCTGAGCTGTAGTGTGAACTCCTCTCAGAGGGCTGCGAGTCAGGGCGTGCTGATACAGCAGCACTGAGCATCGTGGACACTTCCCAGTGCTGAGGACATACCAGTGGTGAATAGACTTTCTTAGAACCGGCATTTCAGTGGGGGAGGCAGTCAGTCAGCAGATAATGGACACGATAATTTCACTTGGTGGTGAGTGCTAAGAAAAAAGCAGTGTGTGATGGAGAAAGGTTTCCAGGAGATGGGGGCTGCTCTGCCTACATTAAGTGGCTCGGGAAGGCTTTCAGGAACAGTTGACATCGTGGGAAGGAGCCAGCCTGGTGAGGAACAGAGGAAGGATACCCACAGAGCCTAGGTGGAGCGTGGGTGAAAAGAAGGCCGTGCGAGTGGCTTTTAGTTAGGGGTGGGGAGAGAGACACTCCAGGGAGGCCAGCGGCAGTGGGATCTGTGGGGTCTGAGCTGGAAGGAGTTTGGATTTTAGTTTAGGGCAGTGACGGGTTGTAGGGGAACACTCAGCAGCTCAGTGACCAGGTGGGATTTACTGGTTCGCAGTACCTGTCAATCATTCAGATTCCTGGATTTACTGGTTCGCAGTACCTGTTAATCATTCAGATTTCTAGAGACATCCCTTTGTGGTTTCCCTCTGCAGAATCTGCTAAGTTCTCATACATCAGTTTCACTTCCTTTGGGTGGGGGTGGGGTGCAGCTGGTTGGGCTGCCTTCAGAGACTGGACAAGAGACCAGCCTCTGCACGCAGCCATGGGAAATTACAGGGGACAGGAGAAGACATTAAGTGACATCACAGGGTATAGGTGGCCAGTTCCAGACAGTGGGAAGCTCCGCAAGAGAAGGGACCTGGTTCCTTCAAGTAAATGGCATCAAATGAGAGGGAAGAGGGCCTGTTACCGAGAAGAGACTCAAGAAGTACATCTGGTAGAGCAGAGCGTGAGTCTTGTTTGGATCCTGGTTTGAGGAAGCCAGCTGTAAAGAGACACCTGTGAAGCAGTGGGGGAGTTTGAGTGCAGATGAGCATTCCAGAAACAGAAGAACCAAACTCACTGCCATCAAGTCAGATCTGACTCACAGTGACCCTCCTTGGGTTTCCAAGGCAGTATCACTTTGGAAGTAGATTGCCCAACCATCCTTCTGAGGAGTGGCTGGTGGGTTTGAACCGCCAGCCTTCCGGTTAGCAGTCAGATGGCTTAAGCACTACGCCACCAGGGCCCCCACATGAGCATTAGATGACATTAGAGAATTCGTGCTAATTTAGGTGTCATAGTGTCATGTTTGTTTTAAGACCTTACCTGTTAGATTTAACAAGGTAAAATGTTTAAAGGTGAAATGAGTTGAGGTCTGGGATTTACTTTAAAATATTCTGGCAAAAAAAAAAAAAAAAAAAAATGTAAGGAGTGGGGAACGGGGGTGACTCCTGACAGGTATGGGGTTTTTTTAAGGGGAGTGATGGAAATGTTGTAGAACTGGATGATTGGTGATGGTCACACACCTTGTGAATATACTAAAAATCACCAAATTATACTTCAGAGTATTGAATTTCATATTGTGTCCATTTTACCTTGATTTTTTTAATAGTTGTGGGTAGATAAAAAGGAGCTCTGGTGGCACAATGCCTAAGGCATTTGACTACTAACCAAAAGGTTGGTGGTTCAAACTCACCACCTGCTCTATGGAAGTAAGATAGAGCAAGCTACTTCTGTAAAGATTTACCAGCTCATAAACCCAATGTGGGTCTCTAAGTCAGAATCGACCCAATGGCAGTGAGTTTGGGGGTTTTTGTTGTTTTGTTTGTATTTTTTCCGTTTAGGTACAGAGAAGATTAGCAGACAGTGGTCACGGAAGCTGGTAATGGGTACCTGGAGGGTTTATCACAGCTGTTCCTTGTACTTTCGAGTACGTTTGAAATTTCCATAATGTAAAAAAAAAAAAAAAATTTTAAATCACAAACTACTCAGAATAGTTCTGTTTCGTATTCTTTGGGAACAAGTGGCATGGCCATAGCATCTGATGTTGTCCTTCTCTTCCCCTTTGCAGCATGGCCGGGAAGACACCCCTGCAGCCTGCCAGCCCACGACCAGGCCTGCTGCTTGCTGTGCCATACTGAGCCCTCAGTCTGGAGCCCCCGGGACAGTGCCCGCCTCCTGAGGTTGTCCTGGCTCGGTGGTCCACAGCGATGGTGGAGAACTGCCCTCCACAGACTCTCAACCTTCCCAACAAGTCTCAGGGGCCATCATCCTTCATCCTGGGACTGGCAGCCCTGAACAATGGCTGAGGGCTGGGGGACCCTATAGAGTTACACCACAACTCACGGCGGCCAGTAGCACTCCAGTGCCTGTGGACTATGACCACCTATCGGCCCATTCCCAATGATGGCGTGGACCTGGCAGCCAGCTGTGGGGCCAGGGGGGCCGATGTCCTTCCCGGGCCACACACAGGGGACTATGCTCCCATGGGATTCTGGGTCCAGAATGGCAGCGTGCCCCAGCCTGTTGGTGAGAGCCCAGCCGCTGCTCCCACTCGCCCCAGCCCCACCACCCCTGCAGTGCCCAAGATGGGAGTGCGTGCCAGGGTGGCCGACTGGCCCCCCAAGCGAGAGGCTCTGAGAGAGCAGAACAACCCAAGCCCGTCCCAGGACACAGACGGCACGAAGGCTGCGAAGGTAGCCCATTCCATGAGGAGCATACAGAACGGACAGCCCCCCACCAGCACCCCAGCTTCCGCGGGGTCCAGAGCCTTCCACCGACTCTCCAGGAGGCGATCCAAAGATGTGGAATTTCAGGACGGGTGGCCCCGGTCCCCTGGCAGGGCCTTCCTCCCGCTACGACACCGCAGCAACAGTGAGATCACCCTCAGTGAGTGTGACGTCGAGGACCCAGGGGAGCCACGGGGGGCTCGGCACACAGGGGCCCTGCCCCTGTTCCGTGAGTACGGGAGCACGTCCTCCATCGATGTGCAGGGCGTGCCTGAGCAGAGCTTCTTTGACATCCTCAATGAGTTCCGCAACGAGCAGCCCGAGCCCCGGGGCTCCCAGGACCTCACTGAGCTCCTTCGGGTTGACTCTGGCCTGCACCTTTCAGGGAGTAACAGCAGCGGCACCAAGGGGGACCCCCGAAATGGGCAGACCCCCAAGGACAGTCTCCTACCACTGCAGCCCTTGAAGGAGAAGTCCCGGAAGAAACCTGTGCGGGGCCTCGGTGGTGGGGACACCGTGGACTCGTCCATCTTCCGGAAGCTGAGGAGCAGTAAGCTGGAGACCGATGCGGGGCGGTCGCCAGGGGAGGCCGAGGAAGGTCGGAGTCCCCCGGAGGCCAGCAGGCCGTGGGTCTGCCAGAAAAGCTTTGCCCATTTTGACGTGCAGAGCATGCTGTTTGACCTGAACGAGGCAGCCGCCAACAGGGTGTCTGTGGCCCAGCGGCGGAACACCACCACCGGCGCCTCTGCTGCCTCAGCCATGGCATCCCTCACAGCATCACGGGCCCACAGCCTTGGGGGCCTGGACCCAGCCTTCACCAGCACAGAGGACTTGAACTGCAAAGAGAACCTGGAGCAGGACCTTGGGGACGACAACAGCAATGACCTGCTGCTGAGCTGCCCACACTTCCGCAACGAGATTGGCGGCGAGTGTGAGCGCAACGTGAGCTTCTCCCGGGCCTCCCTGGGCTCCCCAGGCAGCGGCGAGAGCCGGCTGGCGGAGCCCGCCCTGAGCGCCTACCGCACCAACGCCAGCATCTCGGTGCTGGAGGTGCCGAAGGAGCAGCAGAGAACCCAGAGCCGCCCACGGCAGTACAGCATCGAGCACGTGGACCTAGGCGCCCGCTACTACCAGGACTACTTTGTGGGCAAAGGTGATGGTGCGGGGGGAGGCAAGGCCGCAGCGCTGTCCCTGAGAGCCCCGCTGCTCCCCCTCACAGCAGGGCCATGAGGCTTCAGTGAGCCCATCCACACCACGTACTTAGCCCTTAGTGCATGGCCAGCGTTCCATACAGGAGACAAAAGACCAAACCAAACTTACTGCCGTCGAGTCAATCCGACTCATAGCGACCCCTCCTTGGGTTTCTGAGGTGGTATCTCCATGGAAGTAGATGGCCCAACCTTCCTTCCGAGGAGTGACTGGTGGGTTTGAACCGCCAACCTTCTGGTTAGCAGTCAGATGCCTCAGGCACTACGCCACCAGAGCTCCATAGATACACGTTCAGCAAATATGTGTTTGAAACAACTATGTGCCAGGCCCTTTCTAGAGCCTAGGGATATAGCAGTGACCAGGTTAAAACAAAAATTCCTGTCTTCCTAGAGCTTATGTCTTAGTGGAGTAGGACAGATAATAAAACAAGATAAATATGTGAAATACATCAAGTGTCAGAGGCTGATCAGTGCTATGGGGAAAAGTCAAGCAGGGAAGAGGAAAGAAGGATTGGGATAGACGGGCTGCACTTTCCTACTGGGAGTGGCCAGGGAGGGCTCCCGTGAAGGTGCCACAAGAGTACTGAGCTGAAGGACATGAGGGACAGAGCAGATGCAGAAGTCCTGGAGCCCTGGGGGCCCTGAAAGGAGGCTAGTGTGACCAGGACAGAGTGACGAGACGAGGAGCTGAGGTGGGGTGACAGGGCAGCTCCTGGGCCACAGGGAGAACTTTCACTTTTACTACGAGTGAGGTGGAGCCACTGGAGAGCTCTAAGCAGAGGAGGGTGCTGATCTGACCCAGTGTCCACACCTCCCTCCACTGCACACACAGAGCAGACTGGGGAAGGGAGACCATGTAGGAGGCTGCTGCCAGGCTCTGGGCAGGAGACAGCTGGACAAAACTAGGTTGGGCAGGAATGGGGAAGAAGCAGGCAGGTTCTGGATATATTCTGAAGGTGGACCTGTTGGTGTTTGGCTGGTGTTAAAGCCAGGGAAGGATGGGCTTTGTATATCATTAGGTTCTCTGGTACTGGTGGGGCAGACCCAGGAGGCAGGACAAGGCAGAGACCACAGACACCAGGGCTGGGCAGGAAACAGATGGGAGTGAAATAGCCCCCAGCCCCTGCCTAGCTCCCGCTGACTGTGCCATGCAGGAAATATCAAGAAACTCGGTGTTGCCAGCTTTTCCCGTATTTTTTATAGTTTCTGGTGGAGGTTTCATGATAGTTTAGGTTCCCATTCAGTAATTTCTACACATATTGTTCAGTTACATTGGTTACATTCTTCACATGTGTGAACATTTTCATTATTCTGTTCTGGTGGTTCTGTTTTCATTAATCTAGTTTCCCTGCCCCTTACATTCTCATCTTTGTTTTAATGTAATTGTTGGCTGTTTGGTCTCATACAGGTGATTTTTTAAAGGAGCACAGTACTCACAGGTGATACATTTTATTTTATGAGCCAGTCTGCTATTTAGTTAAAAGGCAAACTCGGGAACTAGTTTCAATTCAAGGTTTAAAAGAGTATCTTAGGGCAATAGTCTAAGGGAGTCCTCCAGTCTCAACTGGTCCAGTAAAAGAATTTGACATTCTCTTCTACATTTTTCTTCCATTCTGTCAGGGTCCATCTTTTATGGTCCTGATCAGACCAGTCAGTGGTGGTAGCTGGGTACCATCTTGTTCTTCCGGCCTCAGGGTGTTGAGAGCCTGGTTCGTGTTAGATCTGGCCTCAGGGTGGTTGGGACCGTGGTTCGTGTAGATCCAGCCTCAGGGTGGTTGGGACCGTGGTTCGTGTAGATCCGGTCTCAGGGTGGTTGGGACCATAGTTCGTGTAGATCCAGTCTCAGGGTGGTTGGGACCGTGGTTCGTGTAGATCTGGCCTCAGGGTGGTTGGTTCATGTAGACTAGTTTCTTCTTTGAGTCTTTGGTTTCCTCCTTTCTCTTTTGCTTTGGACAAGTAGGACCAATAGGTGCATCTTAGATGTCCACTTCCAAGCTTCTCACCCCAGTCACTACTCACCAAACTCTCCAGGATGGAGAACATAACTTGATGAACTAACTGTGTTCTACCAGTTGACTTAGTTGTCCCATGAGACTGTAAGCCTTCAGACTCAGAAAACCAGTCTCACTGGGACTTGGATATGTCTAAGAAGTATCCATAATGCCCTATGTGCTTTATCATATGTATGAATATATATGCATCTACATATATATACACACACACGCACACACACACATAACTATATACACATGCAGGCATATCCCATTGTGTTTCACTTTATTGAGCTTTGCAGACAATTGCATTTTGTACAAACTGAAGGTTTGTAGCAACCCTGCCAATGCAAGTCTGTCAGCATTTTTCCAGTAACATGTGCTTACTTTGTGTCTCTGTCACATTTTGGTTCATTCTCACAGTATTTCAAACTTTTTTGCAATACTGTTGTATACTTAATAGACTACAGTGTAGTGTGGATATAACTTTTATATACACTAGTACAAAAAGGGCATAATGGAGACACCTGACCTCCTCTAGCCTCATGAGGGGGAGAGAATCAAGATGAACACAAACAGTCCAAGGCTGATTCCTGTGAGATGGGGGTCAGCCATGCCACTGCCTTCCCACCTTTTTGCCAGTTCTGACACCAACTGTCCCTCCCACAGCACTCTCTACTTCTCTGCTGCATTCGATAACTTGTTACAGCAGCCACGCGGAACTCACACACAATATTCACAGTTATGAGGTTTATTAGGGAAATAGCAGGTTACAATTCAGGATCAGAAAACAACTCGGGATACAGTTCTTCAGTCAGGACAGCTTCTCAGCTGTGCCTCAGGAATGCTTCTCTCTGGCCTTGGCCTCTGTCCTGCTCTCAGGCCAGTGTAACAAGCTCTTGTAGCTTTGCCTTGGGCACCCAACAAGGCACCTACTCCTCCAGCAAGCCCCTTCCTTGAAGGCGCTCAGCTTTCTCGCTCCATGGTCAAGGAGCCCACCCCTCCATCTCATGCCAGTCTCTTGGTTCTGCTGCCTCTGCTGCCACCGTCTCTCTGCCAAGGAGGTTCAGTGCACAGGTCCTGGGCCCAAGGGCGTGATCTACTCCTGGCTCTTCTCTCTTGATGACAGTGAATACTGCTTTCCACCTCTGGCAAGGCTCATTTTAAGCCTAGTAGAATGACAAAACTGACTAGTCCCCACATTAGGGTTCCATATACCTTATTCCCATGGTCTCACCACCACAAGGGTGCCATGCACCTTATGCGTATTATTAACAACCTGTCCAATCCCCGCAACTGGGAAACTAAGAAATTTGTGTGACTTGCTTTATTGTAACATTCACTTTGTTGAACCCATAATATTTCCAAGGTATGCCTGTATTTGCACACATACATATATATACCTACACATATTGTGGGAGTTAAGGTCATGTGTCATTGTGGCTGGGCAGCTGGATGTCTTGGTTAGATTGGTAGTTAACTCCATAGCAGAAGCTACTGGAGCAGCTGAGTAGCTGCTTTAGGGATGTGAGCTGCTTCCAGTATGTAAGAAGCAACTTTGAGGGCGGTCTCTAGCATGCTTGAACCCTGTATATAGCCATGTCGTTGTTCAGCACACTGCCGTGCTCTGCTGATCCTGAGACTTTTAATAGACTTTAGTCAATGGCCTGCCATATCGTTTGGTAACATTGGGACTGTGCCTTTTTACTTATTGACCTTGGGCTTGTCAGCCTCAGCAGCCAGTAGTAGAAAAGCCTCCAGCTTCAGTGGGCTGGGAACAGGAGACAGAGCTGAAGCCCAAGGTTGAGGGGCTTTCACCCATCCCCTAGTGCCTGGCACTCTGAACTCAGAGTTAAAGCCTCCAGACCATAAGGCAATAAACTCCTGTTTGTTCAAGCCATCCAATTTGTGGTCTGTTCCTTTCAGAGCAGCACTAGGTAACCAAACAACATGTGTATTTTTGGGTTTTGTTGCAAATTTATATATGCCATGTTGTTGTTGTTGTTATGTGCCATCCAGTCAGACCCAACTCATAGCGACCCCTCCTTGGGTTTCTGAGGCAGTACCATAGCAGTTACCAAAAGATCCTTCCTTCTTGTTTACCCTCATCAAGCTGTGTACATTTTACCCTCACCAGTGTTACCTTGCCCATCGTCAAAGTCACAGGTGTCTGCTAACTAGAGAGGGAATCCTCCTCTTAGCCCACCCAGTCCCTAATGAACACTAATCGCTGATGAATATTAGTTTTTGCATATTTACCTGTTCATATCATTTTATAAAAGTGAGAACAGTCTTTTTTTTCTTTGTAATTGACTTATGTCGCTCAACATAATGTCCTCCAGGTTCTTCCACATTGTAAGATATTTTGGGAACTCATTTTTCTTTATCACTGAGTAGTAGTCCATTGTATATATGTACCACGATTTATCCATTCATCCATTAATGGGAACGTAGGTTGCTTCTGTCCTTTTGGTGTTATGAATAGTCTGTTAGTATCACTTCTGTTGGGTCCCCAGGGTATATATGTAGGAGAGGAACTACTGGGTCATCTAACAAACAGTTCCACCTCTAGTTTGTTTTGAAGAAGCACATGCCTGTTTTCCACATTGGCTGTACCATTTTTCATTCCCACTGGCAGTTGGTGATGGTTCCAATTTCTCCACATCCCTCCAACACTTGCTGTTTTTGGTTTTGGGTCCCCCCACCCCACCCCAGTGAAAGGGAAGCAGTATCTCATTGTGGTTTTGATTTGCATTTCTCTGACGGCTGATGATGGTGATCATCTCTTCATGTGTCTGTTGACCATGTGACTATCCTCTTTGGTGAAGTGTCTGTTCATGTCCTTTGCCCAGTTTTTGGTTGGGTAGTCTTTTTGTTGTTAAGTTGTAGAGGTTTTCTGTGTATTTCAGGTGTTAGACCCTTACTGGGTTATATCCTTCCCAGAGACATTGTCCCAGCCTGTGCGTTGTCTATCTATTCCTTTGATAGTCTTTTAATGAACGTAAGTATTTAACTTTTATGAGGTCCAAGTTTTTTTGTTTTCTGTTGCTCGTGCATTTGTTGTTGTGTACAGCTTTTCCAAGATTCTCTTGAAATTCAAATTTTTATGTAGATTTTCCTAATTTTTAAATGCTGGCAGCTATTACAGTTCAGAATTAACAACCGCTGGTAGCAGGCTTCAGCAAAGTAAGTGGTCATTTCTCTCATGTGAAAGTCCAGAAGTCAGCAAGCTGGGCAGGGCTAGTCTGGATGGTCCTTCGGATCTGTGGATAGCAGCCTTGATGCAAGGCTTGTTAGCCCTCAGGATAGTCTCCTGGTTCAAGAGGCTGCTGGAGCTCCAGCCATCACTTCCTTGTTTCCAGGCAGAGAAAAAAACGGAAGAGGTGAGGACAAAAGAAGAGATCTTCTGGCTCAGTGGTTAAGCACTCAGCTGCTAACCAAAAGGTCGGCAGTTGGAACCCGCCAGTTGATCCGCAGGAGAAAGGTGTGGCGATCTGCTTCCGTAAAGATCACCACCTTGGAAACCACATGGGACAGTTATTTGTCCAATAGGGTTGTTATCAGTCAGAATCAACTTGACAGCAATGAGTTTGGTTTGGTTTTTTTAAGGGCAAAAAAGCAGACTTCCCACTCAAGTGAGCACCCTCTAAAGAACTTTTCCAGACACCCCATCCAGTTGCTAACGCTCACACCCACTGGCCACTCCTACCGGCAAGACAGGCTGGTGAATGGACGGTTTTAGCTGCATGCAGCCCCTTTCCCCCCACGATTAGAGGGTTTCTCTTTAAAAGGAACAGGGAAGGCAGGCAGTTACCAGGCTTACAGTGATTAGTCTGTAAAAACTTGGTTAACTGTGGGAAGTGTCAGCTGAGTTCCCCCACAGGCAATCTCTGGAGCTCCAACTTTGGGGTTAGACAGTGCTGGGTTTGGGGTGTCATTCCATAGCTTATTAGCTATGTGACACATACCACCCCTCAAACTCTGGTCCTCATGTGAGAAGTGGAGATGAGTGTAGCTCATTATAGGCCTAAAAGCAAGATGAAAAGAAAGTGATGAAGAAAGGTCCCAGACAGTCACAAACTGAGAAGCAGGTGAAGCAGCATCTGTATCACACAAAATGCATTTCAAAACAAAAGGCCCTTCTTAGAGGATGTGACAGGGCCATTTTATATTGATTTTTAAAATTCACCAAGAAGCTCTAGGAGTTGTGAACCTCCGTATCTTGCAACCTGGTTTAAACCAAACTCACACTCACTGCCATCAAGTCAATTTCAACTCATGGTGACCCCCTGTTTCCAAGACAATAAGTCTTTACGGAAGTAGATTGCCCCATCACCCTTCTGTAGGGTGGCTGGTGGGTTTGAGCCACCAGCGTTCTGGTTAGCAGTCAAGTGCCATAGGCACTTTGCCACCAGAGCTCCTTAGCAACCAGGTTTAGGGGTGTATAAATTGAAAACTGATACAGCTGTAGGGAGAAATAGAAAAGTCCACAGTAATAGGGGGAGAAGTTAACAGGATCTCGCTTAGAAATTGTCAGATCTCAGTAGCAGAAATGTAGACGATTTGAATAACCTGGTTAAGCTTCATGATTTATGCACACGCATACACATACATGTTCATGTGTGTGTGTGTGTGTGTGTGTGTGTGTAATTTTGCACCAAACCAGCAGTGAACATGCTCTTTTCAATTCACGTTTGGAAATACGTACATGAAAAGAATACAGTGAGAATCAGATTGTCCATTAAAACTGGACTGTGAACCAGTTCATTTTGATTCAACTCTCTGCTGAGAATTTGCCTTTCCACCCCAAATATGCTGATCTGCATTTAAAAAAAAAAAAAAACGTTTAGAAGCCCTGGTTCTGTGACTTGGTGAAGTAGCCCAGTAAGGCAGGTGGAGCCCAGCTTTCACCTCCAGTCTCTCTGTTGACTGGCCATGAGCAGAGGTGAGGTTTACAGGGTGAGGGAGAGCCTGCCCCATCTGTGGGACATGACCCATTTCTCACAGGCAGCTGGTTCTGATCCTGCTCTTCCCTCTTAGAACATGCCAATTACTTTGGCGTGGACGAGAAGCTGGGACCGGTGGCCGTGAGCATCAAACGGGAGAAGCTAGAAGACCACAAGGACCATGGGCCTCAGTACCAGTACAGGATCATCTTCCGTACCCGCGAGGTAGGTCCCGTCACTGTCGCTGTTCCGCAAACAAAGCCTCACCCACCTGTCAGCCCCTTTACTGGGCCGGCTTCTGTGGGCAAGCACTTTCCCTGCTTCATTTTGTGGGATCCTCCCAGCAACCCCAAGAGAGAGGGCTCCTGTTAGTCTATCCATTTTACAGAAGAGGAAACAGACTCAGCGACTGAGCAGTTTGTATGGGATCCCACAGTGAGTAAGTGGCCAGATCCAGGATTTAAATCCAGAGTACCTGACTGCAGAGCCCCAAAGGTCTTATTTGCAAGAAGGAAAGGAGCTGTAGGGGGTTATTTCAGTATAATGAGTGTCCTACAGAAGGAAAAGGATTAAGGCCATGAGGCTCAGTCCTCATTGGGTTACTGAGGCCATAGCAAGTCCTCCTCGTTGGGTTTCCAAGGCTGTATCTCTATGGAAGTAGATTGCCTAATCTTCCAAGAAGCAGCTGGTGGGTTTGAACCGCCAGCCTTCTGGTTAGCGGTCAGGTGCCTTAGGTACTGCAGCACCAGAGCTCTCGTGAGCATCAGGCCAGGTAGAGATGGGGAGTCTCCACTGCAGGCTGTGCTGTTGGTGCTGCTCTGATGAGCACATTCCCAACCTGTCCCTTTCCATTCTCAGTGGAGAATCTCATTGGCCTGGCCTGGTCAAAGGTCTTCCCAGGATCGAATGTCAGCTGTGGTCACAGTACCTAAGGCATCTGACGGCTAAGAAGGTTGACCAGCCACTCTGCGGAAGGAAGACTGGGCAATCTACTTCTGTAAAGGTTTACTGCCTCGGAAACCCAATGGGGGTTGCTATGAGTTTAAATTGACTTGATGGCAGTGAGTTTTTTGAATAATGGTTTGGAGCCACGGCCTCTTCTACGGTATAACCCTTGGGGGCAGCCTTGCTCCATTAGGACTGTAAGTTGTAAGTGGCAGAAAGGGACTTTTGACTGACTTGGTTTCATGGTTCATGTGACTATAAATACCTTCAGGCATGACTGGAGCCAAGGTCTCAAATGTTACCAGACCTCTCTATTTTCTTACGCACGTGGCTCTGCTTCTTTTTCCATTGGGAATGTTGCTCTCTCCAGCCATCAAGGAGCTCTCTCCATGTCATGAAGAGAAGGCCCCTGGCTGCCCAAGCCTTCTCAGTCTTTGTACCTTCTGATCCTACATCTTTATACTCTCCTCTGCTAAATCTCCAGGGATCAAAGGCCCACCCCTGAGCCAGTCACTGGGATCAGGGCTGATAAAGCAGACAGTAGGTCTAGGACAGGCTCCACTTGAGTCCAGGGATCAGACAGAGCAGAGCAGGTGATTGACAGTGCTGGCAGAACCTCCTGGAGTGGAGGAGGCAGCAGGGCAGCTCCTCAGAAAAAAGAAAGGAGCTGTTAAACCAAAAATATCCCCTGAAGTCTTCTTAAAGCTGAGTAATAGTTTAGTTAGGAGCTCTGGTGGCGTAGTCCCTAAGGCATTTGACTGCTAACCGGAAGGCTGGCAGTTCAAAGCCGCCAGCCACTCTTTGGAAGGAAGGTTGGGCAATCTACTTCTTTAGTGATACCACCTCAGAAACCAAGGAGGGGTCACTATGAGTCGGAACCCACTCGGTGGCAGTGAGTTTGTTTTTTTTTTTTTTGGAATAGTTTAGCTAAGTAGTGAAAAGGTCTGCTTTGGGCATGGTACTCTTTTAGACCTATCTGTATGGGATCACATTAAATAAGAGCCTTAGGGGAGATGAGTTATGTTCATGAGGGAGGAAGAACGCAGCAGAGGGTGAGAACGTTGCACAACTGGAAGAATTCATCGGTGTCACTGAATTGTGCACAGACTGATGGATTGGTGTATGTTTTACTGTGTGTAGTATTCTCAACAACAAAATAAAGTGTAAAGAAAAAAAGAAAGAAAGGAGCTGGCTGAGTAAAAATGATAGACATCCAAAAGACCCGAGTCAGGAAGACCTCGTCAGAGAGATGGAGGTGTGGCTAGGCAGTGCCCCTGACAGGAATCCCTCAGCCACGTGCTGCCCCCATCCCTGTGGGCTGGCCTTTGCCCAGACTGGGAAACCCAGCATGCTGCCACCGTCAGGGACCTCAGGTTTGGGGCCAGCCGAGCCCTGGACTTCATCCAGGCTAGCAGATACACCCCAATCCCTGTCTGATGACGACCTGCCTGCTGTGGCAAATGAGATGACACAAAGGCTTTGTGGCAGCTGAGAGGAAGCAGCCCAGAACCACGCGTCCCAGTCACAGGTGGTCAGCAGCCTTCTCTGTCTCCCCAGTCCCCTCTGCCCCCTCCTCACCTGTCTGGCCAGATGAGTACCAGGGCAGAATGTGAAGTGACGGTTCACACTGCATCGGACCATATGACATAAGGGGAAACTGCTGGATGAAAGGAAATGATTGTATATTGATAAATATGGATTACAGTTACTATTACGAATTTTCTCAGCACTTACTATGTGCTGGTGTTGTTCTCTGCCCTTTATATATATTAACTCACTTAAATCTCCTAACAGTTCTATGGGAGCTCTGGTAGCGTAGTGCCTAAGGCACTTGACTGCTAACCAGAAGGCTGGCGGTTCAAACCCACCAGACACTCCTCGGAAGGAAGATGGGGCAATCTACTTCTGTAGTGATACTGCTTTGGAAGCCCAAGGAGGGGTCGCTATGAGTCGGGTCCGACTCGATGGCACATAACAAGAACAACAACAATTCTATGATGAAGGCACTGTCATCCTCACAGATAACAAAACAGGTCTAAGTGACTTGCCCAGAGCACCATCCAACAAGTAACAGGGCCTGTATCAACCTGTGCTCTGAGCCACTACCTCTGCTGCCTCTGGGGTTAGAATGACTCAGTTCAGACTATAGGCTGGACCCATCCATGAGCTATGAATTCAGCTTAGTGCCAGCGTTTTATAAAATGAAAATATATGTGAAATAAATTGCATGTGCACACTGAGAGTAATGAGACTTGGTGTAGAGATGCTGGGAGGATATAATTTCTTCATCATGGTTCCTGTTCAGTAAGTTTGAAACTGCCTTGGTACCTTTCATGGCCCATGCCGGCTCCTGCCCTCTTTGCCCCCCTAGCACCCACAAAGCTAGCTCCTGGGGACTCTGGTCCACCCCAGGCTGGGCACAGGGGCCCTCAAGGCTCATACCCACAAGTCTGAGCCACTTCTACTACACAGAGGTTCTCTCAGCTAGGCACAGAGGAGACAGGTGAATAAGGCAGCCAGGATGCTCATGAGAGTGCATTCTTGGGAGGGAGATAAATTAGTAAATTCTACAATGTGGTACACGATGATGATGTTGTTGTTGTTTGCCGTGGAGTCGACCCCGACTCATAGCGACCCCTCCTTGGGTTTCCAAGTCAGTATCACTACGGAAGTAGGATTGCCCAACCTTCCTTCCGAGGAGTGGCTGGTGGGTTTGAACCGTCAGCCTTCTGGTTAGCAGGCAAGTGACTTAGCCACTATGCTACCAGAGCTCCCGTGGTACATGATAATGATGTGAAAAATGAAGCAGGGAAGAGAGATAAGAAGTGGGGAGGGACGGGGGCAATGAGATTTTTAGACAGGATGGCTAAGGGAGGTATCACTGAGAAGGTGACAATTTGCCTAAAGGTGGGGAAGCAAGCAATGTATTCTAAGCAGGAGAAAGCCAATGCAAATGTCCTGGGGCAGGACCATGCCTGCCACATTGGAGACCTGACATATGTCCTAGTTGGGCCACTGAACAGCCATGAAACCTTGGACACATGGCTTCCCCTCTTACAGCCTCATTTTCCCCATTGGGAATCCTAGTCTCACAAGGCAGTGGTGTGTGCTCGGTGAGGTTGTACACAGAAAACCAGCGGTGCTGGGCCTGGTGTTTGGGGAGAGCCCAATAACAGCCTTGGAACAGCTCCTCTGCACCCTCGTGAATTGGGTTCCCCCAAGGCAGCAAGGCCCCAGGGACCCTGAGGCTCATGCAACCAGGCTTTTCTCTGCCCTCTCACACAGACTCAGCCCTGGGCCTAACCTTGTGCAGAGCTGTCCTATCTGCAGGGTACTCAGGCCTGAGGGACCCCCTGTTGTCCAGAGCTGAAGAGAGGACAGTGGCCAGCAAGATTTGCTTCTGTCCTTCCTAAAGCCCTTCCCATTGTAGATGAGGAGCAGCGGATCATAGCCCAATAATACTAACAACAGCAGAATAGTAATAGCATAGTCCTGCCACACAAGGTCTAAGTGTTTCATGTACACTGACCCACTGAATTCTCACAACAATCCCATGAGGTGGGTCCCATTATTATCCTCATTCTATAGATGAGGACATTGAGGCCCAGAGAGGGTTCCACGGTGGCAGAGCCGGCATGTGGACCCAGGCATCTTCGCTTCCAAGCCCACTAGGCCACACTGCCTGTCAGTTTGAGTTTGAATTCTGGATGCTGCAGACAGACAGCCCTTGATTTGGGTCCAACTCTGCCACCCACTCACCTTGTGGCTGGGAGCAGATGGCTTTATCTGTGACCTCAATGTCTTCATCTGTAAAATAGCTTCTGATACCATTTGTTCCAAGGTCAGAGGGCCATGCTGGGGAGCATGGACAGTGCTCTGTCCTTCTGTCCACATGTACGTGCCTCAGCTTGGCAGAGCAAGCCATTTCTGGAGTAGGGGCCAGAGCAAGGACCCAAACACCTTCCAAGCCGGCTGGCTGGACTGCCCCAGATGGCCACCCTCATCCACCAAGCAGACAGTCGTGAGAGGGCTTCCATCTCCCGACAGATGGGCGATGAGTGTTGGCAGTGCTTAGCTTCCCACCCGAGGCGGGAACAGACTGGAGCTGGGCTTCGGCACCACATGGCTAAAACGTCAGCCCTGCCCCCACCCCAGGGCCTGGACAGGATGAGCTCCAGGCCAGGGCTGCCCTCTCCTGGGTCGCTTGCTGGCACTGTCTCACCCAGGAGACAGGGAACCCAGCCAGACAGGGGCTGTCTGGCCTCAGCAGGCCCAGTGGG